TGTTTTGATTTTTGTGTGTATATCATAAGTGCCTAATTGTAACCTTCATACTACCTTTTCTGTTTTAGTATTATGTACTCTTAGCCTTTGACAGACTGAAATAGTTTTATTTAGCCATAGGGGTTTATGTTTTTCGATATTCATAATGTCAGAAATTAGCCAGAGAGAAGCCATTTAGATTATTTTTCATTGTCTTTCAAAATGACCTCTGGCTTTTTATTTTAGATGAACTTTGTTTTCTAGCAAAAAAAAAAATGTACCAGAGATATTTCTTGTTTTTTCATAATAACTGAGTCTGTTTTTTAAATTTTTTATTTTATCGGTAGGTACTGGGCAATAATATTTTGTTTGCCCATAAGTGCTAGTAGAGGGCAGAAATATTATTGTTGTTATTAGTCTCTTTTAAGGAGATCTGGAAAATATATGTCTTTTTAGGTTTATAAGTTCATGTTGATTTTTCTTCTGTAACATATCATGTTGCTGCATCTACTTTCCTTTTATTATGCATTTTCACCAGCTTCAAAGGCTCTTTCCACACTATAAGAAGGTTGCTTAGTAAGCAAGTTATCAAAGCAAGGCAGTTTAGAATGAGTAGTTTTCAAATTAGTTTATCTAGACCAATAGTAAATGGACCTGTGTCAAGGGCCACCTACAAAATAAGAATGAAATTGGAACAGAGGAATGAGTTCTCCCAATTTAAGTTCTTCACTTTGTTGGTGTTATTTTTTCTTAAATGTTGGAAAAGCAGTGGCACGGTTTAAGCATTTTGAACTGTGGAAGGATGAAGTAACTGTCAAATTTCAAAAGAAGGTTGAGCAATCCAACCTTGAAAATACTGTGTATTTCTCTGGACCATAGCAACTGCTGCAATCATGAACCAGATAACTTTCTAAAATTTTTCATTTTTCAAATGGACTTTCAATAGTCTTAGCCATGCATTGAAATCCAAGGTGCCTATGATAACAACACTTTGCATGTTGAAATATCCACCACAAAAAAACAAACAACAACAAAACACCTTTTTCTCATTTTAATGAAAGGTCAGCAAGTTTGGTTAACATGCCCATTTTGGACTATCCACAAACAAACCACATCCAAAGAGGGGATTTGACTCCTCTAAGGACCTGGTGCCTTTTCTATGTCTAGATGGATTGGGTGGGGTGGTTCTGAATAAAAGGAAGAAATGCTGTGCAAACCACAGAAATTTGCAGTGAGAAAGATGTTCATTCTTGGCACAACAACAGCAAAAAAAAAAAAAAAGTGACAGCCATATTCCAGAAACTCATTTATTATCTTTTTCCTTTGTTTAAACCTTCATTACTTGCATGACTGTGCTGGGGCTGTCAGAACAAATACTACAAACTGTGTGGCTTAACCAGCAGAAATTAATTTTCTTACAGTTCTGGAAGCTAGAAGAACAAGATTGAAGTGTAGGCAGTTTGGTTTCTCCTGAAGCCTCTCTCCTGGGCTTGCAGGTGGCTGCCTTTTGCTGTGTCCTCAAATTGTCATCCCTCTGTGACGTCTGTGTCTTAACACTCTCTTATTAGAACATGCAATATTGAATTAGGGGACCTGATTCAACTGGAATTTCTTCTGAAAATTTCATACATTACTATCTTTAAAGACAGTCACATTCTAATGTACTACGTGATTTGTTCTTCAATGTATACATTTTGGTTGGAAATTATGAAGACCATGTTGGTCATTGAAATTTAACATCCAAGTGTAAAGTTACTTAGAACAAATTGAAGCTACATCATATTATACTTTCCCCCCATCACTCCCCAGCACGCCATCCATCCCTACCCCCTTCCCCTGCTTTTACCCCCCTTAGTTTTGTCCATGTGTCCTTTAAAGTTGTTCCTGAAAACCCTAACCAATGTGTTCTTGACTCTCAGATTAAGATTCTCCCATTTGGAAAATGCCTAATAAACACTAAATATAGTATCTTTACAAAATTTCCCATCTTCAAACTCTGCCTTTTCCCCGTCTAACTTAAATTATATTTCCTTTGTTGTTTCAAATTCTTTTTTTTTTTCATATTGAGGATGGCTGTTTATCTTTTGATGCCTATATGTTATAACATCTTTTCGATGCTATATAAATAAACAACTTACTCTCGGGGAGCTACCCCTGCCATAGCATGTGTGTGTGTGTACACATACATATCATAATATATAGATTATTATATTTATATTGTATGATCTATCCAGAATATATCCAACCATATAACATGAAAAATAGAGACATTTATTGAAGAAGATACAAAATATAAGAAACATTGTACATAGGACAATGACATCTCAATCCCCTTCAAAGTAGGCACCTTGGGACCTCACACAGTTCTCCTAATCACCATCAGCTGCCCCATCATATTTTCCTGAATCTCATTGACAGTCTGAAATCTCTTCCCTTTCAAAGGTGATTTTAGTTTTGGGGAAATCCAGAAGTCACAGGGCACCAAATCTGGGCTTAGTGGGGCTGAGTCACCTGGGTGGTTTTGATGTTTAGCCAAAAACTCTGCATGAGACCTGATGCATGATGGGCACATTGTCATGATGAAGCTGCCAGTCACCAGTTGCCCATAGCTGCAGCCTTCTGAATACCTGAATAGTTTCCCTGGAGGAATGTTCAAGCTTTATGCAAAATCTGATGCAGGTTCATTGCTCTACACAGTCATTTTGAATGTGACAGTCACACAGTACACATGCTCACTCAACAGCATCTATCACCCCCACGGACTAGTACAGTGAGGTCGTCATTGTTCACGCATGCACATTCCAGTCCACTCCCCTTGGCTGCCAGGTTACATCAATGTCACCAAACCATTCTCATTATATTAGCAATGGTTGGTCTGGTTGGACTTTTTCCAGACAGACCATAATATATATGTATATGGATATATATATATATATATATATATGTATATGTACGTGTAGTATATGTGTATCTATATGTGTGTTTGTGTGTTTTTAAATTTATTTTTCTTTTATTGATTCCAGAGAGAGGGGAAGGCAGGGAGAGAGGGCGAGAAACATTGATGTGAGAGAGAAACATCAATGGGCTGCCTCTTGCATTAACCCTGTCTGGAGACCAAACTTGCAACCCATTCATGTGTCCCTGATGGGGAATTGAACCTGTGATCTTTTGGTTTGTGGGAAGATGCACACCCACTGGGCCACACGGGCCAGGGTTCTGACACAGTGTGTTATAACTTTTCCAATAAACAGTTGATTTTATATATAGTTTAAATTATTAGTTACTTTAAAACTAATACAGATGCAATACAATAATACAGTGCAATACAATGTAACAATACAAAATACTTTCTGTAACTTTCATTTGCAGAAAGAAACACTTAGATTTGGATGTATTTATCCCTTTTGAAACTACTGTGCTATATTCATGAATAACACATTTCTAAAGTTTAATAATGTTTAATTCTATTTTTAACAGTGAGAATAGTTTATGTATAAGAGTGTCCTTTTTATTGAGTTTTTTAATTTTTTAAATATTATTTATTTATTTTTAGACAGAGAAGAAGGGAGGGAGAAAGAGAGGGAGAGAAACATTAGTGTGTGGTTGCTTCTCATGTGCTCCCTATTGGAGGCCTGGCCCACAGCCCAGGCTTGTGCCCTGACTGGGAATGTGACCCTTTGGTTCTCAGCCCGATGCTCAATCCACTGAACCACACTAGTCAATGTCTATGTTGTCCTTACTTTTAATTCCAAGAACTAAGGAATTTAGTGTCTCTTTGACAATATTACTAGAATTTTCTTAATAAGTATTTACTTTTTTAAATGTGAGTTATGGTAGCATTCACATCAATGGAGAAAGTGATTTGTAGATATGATATCATTTAGTATTTAGATTCCTCTTCCTGTCCTTTTTGGACTGTTTTAATTTCACCGTTAGTCCCTAAATGTAAATGCTTGCTTTTCTTAATGTTTACTACCTGTCTATACACACAAATACAAAACTCATTTCTTTATTCCTCACTCAAGAGTCCCTACCTCTGCAAGGAGATATTTATCTTCAAGACCTTTGAATACAACCTTCTCGTTTACTTTGCTGTTTGCCCTCTTAAAAAGAAAGAATATCTAGCTCTGATGTTTGTGACCTCATGAATATCAAGAGTTAACTTTTAATCTAAATTGATATTTATTTCTTTTATTCATCCCTTCTAATCTAAAACAAGTGATTGAATAATGATAACGGAATCCCCACCTCCAGATATGGTCTAAAATAATGTCTCACAGCTGGCACTGTACAAAAATTGTTTGAGAAATAATTTATTAAATGTGTCACAAGAATGCTATACAGATTTGAAAGATAAATGTTACATAGATATTAGAAAACTTTCAGTTCACAGACTTTTGAACTGAAAGTTTTCTAATACATTTGACAATATTTATATCATTTTTGTGCATTTTGGTAAGTAAAATCTCGTCTTTCCTCATGTTCATTAAAGAAGTTTTGATTAAAACACTTTCCTGTTTTCTAATATTTTTGATAGCTGCTTACATATATACTTCTGTTAATTATATGTGATTTTTAAAAAAGCTAACATGCAGCTGTTGCTGATGTGGCTCAGTAGATTGAGTGCCATCCTGTGAACCAAAGGGTCATTGGTTTGGTTACCCCTCAGGGCACATGCCTGGTGTGCAGGCCAGATCTACAGTAGGGGGTGTGGGAGAGGAACTACACATTGATATCTCTCCCTCTTTTCCTCCCCCATTCCTCTCTCTAAAAATAAATAAATATGATCTTTAAAACAAACTAACATGCAAATAATTATAAAAATTAAGATCTTTTGATAATTCTTGGAATTTTATTGGGCTGATAATCTTAAAGATAGTGAAAAATTTCTGGATATCAGTTAAAACTTTTCACTTCTGATTTGATTTCTTTTTTGCTTCTTCGTGTCTGCATGTGAATATTTTCTCGGCTTTTTAGTGTTTTGTTTTGTTCTCTAACTACTGATTTTGCTTTTTCTTCAGGATGTTTTAAATAATTTGGGATCATGTGAACTGGATGAAGATGATCTAATGCTTGATCTAGAATTATTAGAGGAACAGAATCTTCATCCCTCTGGTAAGTATTGAATAAAGGCACGATATTCTACAACTCTGATCCTACTCATTTAGCTTTCATTGATGAGCTTTAGGCTGTGCTCAGGCTTTTCAGCCCCCAGGTTGTATTTGTGCAAGGAACTTGCTGGGCACCTTGGACTTGTGATTCTGGTTATCTGAAAATCTATTATAGAAATATAAATCCTGTTAGAAGATCATTATACATTATAAAGGAAAACCTGTAAAACCAAAGTTGTTTTAGAGGAGGAAATCCTAATTAAACACTCCATGGAATAGTTAATATATTTGGAATAAAATAAAAATAAAAGTTTTAATTTTTAATTTACTTTAAATAACCAAATGGAAGGTTTGTGGATTCAGATTTGCTGTTTTCAATCTTAGTGATTTTAATAATTACTTCAGTGTTTTTGTTGATGTAATAAAGTTGACCTCAAAATTAATAATTACCTACAGCAACCACAAATATATACTCATAAACACATACACACACCTAGAATTGTAGTCTGATATAAATTCTTGCTGATGAATTAATAAGGGAGGACATTATATTTTTAATAGTTTAAATTTATATTAAAGCATAAAATAATATGTCTCCAGGTTCCAAGTTACTCTCTTTGAAGCTGTTAATGGGGAAGAGTTATTTATTTAAATTTAGATATTTGACCACAAAGGCAAGCTTTTATTTAATTTTTTATTATAAATAGCACCTTTAAGATAGTCATTTTCAAGTCCAAGTAGAAATAAAATTAAGTTGGAGTTAAGAAATCTGAGGTCCTACTTTATACATTTGAGAAAATCGACCTCTTGGATTTTAGTATTCATATTTTTACATATTAGGATTTACATATATTTTCCAGCTCTAATATTTTGTGATTCATTTTTCATGCAATATTTTTACATTTTTATAATATATTAACAATGCTCAAAGGTAATAATAGTGTTTATATTTTTATACTTTATTTTAGGCTAACATCAACAAGAAGCTACTTACATTTTTTTCAGCTGATTATAAACAGAATAACCATTTCTAGAGATAGTCTTTCTGCAGTGATTTGAAAGATATGTTTTTTAAAATATAGATTTTTCTAACTTTCAGGCAATACCTTACGTGATTTTGTCATTCACGTTTATCATAAGGAGTTACACATGGTGAGAATGTGCACCATATGGAAGGAATTTTGTTAGTCTCAAGCAAAACTGTACAAGCCTTTACCTTTCGATCCAGTTATCCAACTTTTAGAAATTTAATCCAAAGCCAGTGGGAATGTGTAAAATAATGTATGAGAATAAGTATGCATTGCAAAATATTTGTGATAACAAAATATTGGAAACACCTTAAATATATTTTCAATAGGACACTTGTTGAGCATACAGTGGTATAGTAAGGAGGAATTATAGCTATCACAAGGAGTAATATTTCTTGTAGCATGATTGTTAGGATGTATTCTTGCTAAAGACTTTTGCAATGATAGATTAAACTGGTAGTACCTGAACCCACTATTCAATCTTAATACCAGTAAAAGTATAATAACTAAATATTTTGTCTGTCTTAATGCCTAGAGAAGTACACAGTCCCACCACTGCTGTCCACGAGCACCTAAGTCTACTCTAGTCTCTTGATTAAACTATGATTTTAATAGGAAATGTTGGGATGAGAGGAAAGGGAATGTTAAATGGCATGATGAGATTACCAGCAACAAAAATTAGTAAAATTTAATCTATTCCCTAATAGAAAATCAAACACCTTTAATTAAGAAATTCATTTTAACAGATAAAATTTGACAATCTCTAATTTAAAAATTTCCTTGCATTTTTCAAACTGTATGTATTGGATACTGTCCATATGTAGTGATATTATCGGCAAAGAGGCTTATAAAGGACAATAGAATGCAGAATACAGGTACAGTGCTACCTGTCCTCTGAGCAACATGGCTAAAGTATAACAATCAACCAAGTAGAACATCAAAATACCACAAAACAAAAGAGAAAAAGCTAGTTTGACTTGGTTTTTAAAAATGTGTTTTTTAACAAATGCAGTGGACAATTTGAATAAAGTTCCTAGGGATCCTTTGAATATATAAATATAGCTAATAGAGTCCTAAGTTAACATACTTTATAAGTACAGGGGTAGTACAAATTAAATATCTGTTTTATAGTGGAGTAAGTGGATATGATTTTTTTTAATGAAAGTAAGAAAACAGTTTCAGAGAAAGGAGGCATATTAATTCAAAGTGAATTCCCACAAGGAGATTTGCCTTGAGGAAAAAAAAATAAGAGCAACTAACTGTTTTAAATAATTTACTCTTATCCTGGCATTATCTGGTTTTTACTTTATAAATTCTAACCTAAAAGCTAAGCTTTAGATTAAAAAGCCTATGGATGAGCTTTCCAGATATCTTTTATTATATTTTCTTTAATTAATGCTTAAATTACTCTTCTGGATAACATACTTTATGAATAATTATTATGTTTCTTGTTTCAAACTCACAATGATAAATTCCTTAATACCAGACATTTCGTTTTTCTTGTAGTAAAACATTATATTTATTGTTTCTCTATTTTAATGAATTATTTATAATGCATATATGACCAAATAATTATTTTAATTAAAAATATAAGATACTATAATTTATACCTTAATAAATTAAAAATACATTAATGATATTATTTACCCTACCCAGTATTTTATATCTCTCTTCACTCTCTTAATCATATTGTTATGGTATTGCTTTTGCTATAAATGAGTCATGGAAGATGTTAGCAGTGATGTTGGTTAGCTATATCTCAACAGTGTTTCTTTTTGGAAAAAAACATGCTAACAAAATTTAACATGCCTATGACTCAAATAAGTGACCTGAAGTATCGCTTTATAGTGAAATACATATTATGAAGTATACAATCTGTCAAAGGGAAAATACCAGCAATATGTTTTTGTTCAATTTTTGAATGTCATTTTATATTATTTTGTTCAGGTTTTTCTTTCTATTTATTGAAACATCTTGAAAAATAATAATTGTTTGAGTAAAATAGGGTAACAATAAAATAAGGATATGAAAAATAAGACAAACTCACAGGTAAGGCTGGCAAACAAAATGTGTATTAGTATTGCCGCCATGAGTGGGAAGTGTTGCTTGGAGTGTTCTACTAGTATTTGTGAAGAGGGAAGCACAACCGGTTACATGATTAAAATTATATGCTATCAGTCAGTCGGCCAAACAATGCATTTGTAAAATAAATAAATTATTTTTACTAAGAGCTAAAAGATATTTTTCTCACTTGTCTTTGTAAAGTATAAATAATTTGCTGTCAATGCAGTTTCTTCAGCAGCTACTTGCAATACAAGCTAGTAGCACAGCTTGCTCAGTAACATGCCGAGTAGAGGCAGTTCTAAATGGTGGTGCGTCAGGGCAGCCAGGCTTAAAGCTTTGTGAGGATTTTGCCTGTCCAAAAACAAAACCTTGTTCCTTTCCCATAGTTCCTCTTCCTCAGATAATTTTAATATTGAGAATCAAGTACATGCTGTAGAGTGTTTTCCTCAGACATAAGGTAAATACCATAAAGCCTAATAGAATGTCTAATGTTCAGCACTGTTACTTCCTCATTAGTCTTCTAAAAGAAACTTTCTGAAAAATGTAACCCTTGGGTAACTGAATAACTTTTTTTATGAATAGATGTTATCAAAATGCCAGTTAAATAGCAAACAGTACATACTATTCTATAAAGAAATAAGAATAAAAATTGTAGTTCTTCATTTCCTTCCTTGGCTTCCATGTTAATTTAACCCAGGGTGTGGCCTCTGTGTAAGCATTAGCGATTACTAGCTGGAGATCGAAGTTGAGGAGAAGGAAAACTAAGTGCCTATAATGAATTAAGGTCTTTTCTTCAACTCTGTCACGTTAACCTTCATAATAACTCTCAAGAGAGGAAGTTTCATCTTAAAGATCCATTCAAATTAAAACTACAGATTAATAATGAATGAGAATAGCCTCTTTGATGCCAGACACATACATCCAAGTTAGAATTCCAGCTTTGTCAAAGTGGCCTTAGGCAAGTGACCCTGTCTTTCTGAGCCTGCTGTCCTCCTTTGCAAAATGACAATAATAATATGTATCTTAAAATATCATCCTACCTAAATAGGTGACATTGTAATATGTAAAGTGCCTTTCACAGTTGACTAGAATAAAATAGAAGTTCAGTACAAGTTGATTACTTTTCTTGAAATCTTAGTTTAAACTCCTTGTCAAAGAGAGTTTGTCCTATCATTGGTTATTTTTCACAGTCCTTAATTTCTTAATGATTCATCACTATTATATATTATTTTAAAATATACTTTCTTATTTGAACTTTCATTATCTAAATTCTTGTATATTATAGGCATTTAAGTGTTTTGTTAGTACTTATTACTCAAAAATTAGGGTCCTGGCCAGGTAGCTCCATTAGTTAGATAGAGTGTCATCTAGGTAAGCCAAGATTGCAGGTTCAATCTCTGGTCAGGGCACATACAAGAAGCAACCAGTGAATGCATAAATAAATGGAAAAAACAAATTAATGTCTGTCTCTCTCTCTGTATTAGATTTATAAATAAAAATGATGATATTTTGCTTGTAACAGACACTACATTTATTTGTGTTAAAAACAATGCATTGAATGCAAGAAAAAAATTTCCATATACTAGTCATATGTCCAAAATACTACAACATATTTAAAATTGAGATTTCTCAATGAAAGAATAAATCTTATGTTAAATACTTTAAAGCTTATTAACCCAAATTTTTAATATTCAGAGTGAACGCAGGCTCTTAATTTGTATGAAACTTGATCTTAATTTGCAAATGAGTTGCTCAATTGAAAATAGATTTTAGTTAGATATTATTATTTAATGAAAAGACTGTAATGGTAATTTAGATGAAAGAATGAAGAAGTTTTATATTGTTTTTGCTATTTTAGACATTATATCTAAAAAAAACTAGGACAGGAACTCTTGGTATATGTCCAGATGCA